CCCCTGCCGCCGAGGAACAAGACGCGACTGCGGCTCTCTAGAGATGCGCGCGCGGGTGGAGCAGGAGCATGGCAGATGAGGAGGAACCCCCAACTGTTTGTGATTGTTTGAGGATCGGGGGGGAGAGAGTGGGTGGGGCGCTCAGTAACAGTCGGCCGAGTCTGAGCTGAGACAGGACGCTCCAGAACAATTACATATCAGGGGGCGTCTCCGGCACGGCCATGTGCCCTCATCTTAATGAAGACTCATCCTCCCCCCTCCTCACCTCTCCTCCGGTTGGACGTGCCGGGGCGCGGCGAGGCGCTCACATGTGCGGCCCGGCGGACGCTCGACGACGACGCCCTGAACCTTCACCCCCTCACCCGAACGTCGTCGCGTCGTCGCGTCGCTTGGAGCGGGCGCCGGCAAGTAGGCAACCCGCTCCGCTCAGCTGCGGCGAGTCGCAAGTGTTGCCTAACCACAGGCGGTGGCGCGGCGCCTCTCCGTCGCGCGACACGGAAGGGATATGTATAGATGCACTTGGCCCCCAAGGCGTACACTGCGAACATTTTTTTTGTTTGTGATTTGTTAATCTACGAAAACAAAAACGATGTTGCGCGATGTTTGCAAAGTTTATGATCTGTTTCGTAAATTTACGAGAGTACTCCTAGTCGAAGAGTAGGCTGCAACAAGAACTGACTTGTAATTTCACAATTTAAAATGTTACACTGTGGAAAATATGTTCGGACACGTATCATATATCTTGTAATTTGCCATTTACAGAATGTGTCGTACATGTACAACCTCCCACCGCCCACTCTTGCTCTTTTTTCGATTTCAAGTCGATTTACGGAGTGTTTTTGCATTCTCGATCGTAAATTGTAATTGTACCACTTTTTCCGTGGAAAATTTTCCTGAGCCCGGTACGACAATAGTTTTTTGACAGTAGACAGTAGTGTAGCCTTCCCCACATTTCTCATGTAATTTTTTTCTTAACCCTGTAAAAACGTAGAATGTGTTTCGTGTGTGTCGCAGCGCCCGCCATGACGCTGTGCGGCAGCAACGGCACCGCCTCCAAGCCCGCCCCGAGCCCCGGCGGCAACGCCCTGGGCACCGCCCTGCCGGGGGCCGTGGCCGTGGCGCCGCGGGTGGCCGAGGCCGACGGCGGCTCGGTGCGCTCGCTCAGCTCGGAGGACGTGGCCTCGGTGGGTGCTGAGGCGGGCCGGCGCAACTGCGGCTGCCCCTGCTGGACGTCCAGCCCCGTGCACGAGAAGGACCGGCGGCTGCAGCTGCTCCACATGCTGGCGCTGCCCTTCATCCCCATCCTCGCGCTCATCGTGCAGACGGCCGTCGCGCTCAACGGCATCCTCATCGACCGCCAGGAGGTGGCCGACGTGGAGTGGCAGGTGAGCCCCGAGGCCGCGGGCGCCGCGCGCTTGCTCCGCGGCGGCCCCCCCCCCCTCTCCGAGCCTCCTCACGCGCCGCGCCCTCTGCGCTTTAGTGTCCTGCGAGTCCTTGCGGCCCAGTCGCCGCGTTACAGACTTTCGTACTTTGACGCAGAGCTTGTTAGGGGGAGGTCCCCGGGCCGGGCCGACCCGGCCGCCGAGTTGACGAGCTCAGGAAACGCTTTTTTTTCCTTATCCCTTACCCCCACTACCACTCCTCCCTACATGTCGTCGTTCTCCCCCCCCCTCTCCTCTTTTCATTCCTAGCTACGCCCTTACCCCACATACCACCACCCGTTACTCGACCTCCCTTCCTTTCCTTTTCCGCATACGGTACAAGCCTTTGTGTGCCGCTTCATCCTTCTCCGCTTCTCTCTCGATCTGTCCTTCCCTATCGCAGAATGCACTTGTCAGACACCGATCCCTAAAAACCTGCTAGAAGTATGACCGAGATGGACTCATTGGTAAAAATGACAAAAGAATGTCGACTCTTTTAAGGCCGTGCCGTGCGCACATTTGAAAGCACTAGAATCTTGCATCCGATCAGGTTGTCAACATTTTATCATCTACAGTGTACACCGAATGGAGAAAACATTTTAAAAGAGAAACAATGTGCAGAGCTTCCTCACGAATATAGCTTCTCATCCCTTTTCACTCTTCCATGTGCACATTCCGAACTTCGATACGTGCGCCCGAAACCCGCTAAGCGAATGGCGAGACGGCGGGCTTGGAGAGCGCATTTCGCGATGCGACCCGGCGAAAGAAACGTACAACTCTATCTCTTTCTCTCTCTGTGCGGATGCGACGCGTACGAGCCGTAGGGGAGGGGGAAGGTTATGTCCACGGGATACACACTCGAGGAGGAGAGAGCGGGGAAAAGGGGGGGGGGGCGAGCGTCGAGCAAGGAGTGTTTCATTTTCCCCTCGGTCGAAGCCATGGCCGTATAGCAATTGGCGTCGAGTGTCGATTTTCATCTCCGGTTCCAATAAGCAGCCATTCGGCCCAACGAGCGGGCCGGCCAGTCGAGCAGCCAGTCAACCGGCGGCGGCCCGCCCAGACCGGGCAGTCAGCCCTGGGCTGACTGACGGGCTCTCTGTTCCTGTTGATGGAGCATTTACTGAAGTCGTCGCCGTTATGGTCGCAATGCCCTGGCAGGGGCGCGTTAACGGCCCGTTCCACAAAACGTCAGCCCAACATTGCCATTTTAGAAGCTTACTGGAGCTTGCCTGGGTGATTCACGACACGACGATGGGAGTCGCCGTCCGAGAGAACTTTTTTTTTCTTGCTACCACGTCGGAACAAATAATTGACATCGAAAAAAGACGAAAGCGTGTTATTTCAGGATACGACAAGTATTTTTTGCAGTAAAAACATATTTTATTTTTGTGGGGTGACGGTATAATGGCATTCGTAAAGACGAGACACTTTTTTTCCCATTCAACTTTGCTCTGCTGACTGTGCCTGGCGAAGCGCGACGCGACGACAGTCGGGAGCAGAACGCCTGTCAATCGGGGGATAGGCAACCCGGCGCGCCTGGACGCGCCTCCTCCCGCGCGTTGCCGCCCTCTGAGGGGCTCGGAGGGAGAGTAGACGAGCTCTGAGCACATCGTGTTATTGCAGGTGACTATCGCCACCGACCTGGGCAAGGTGGTGACCGCCATGCAGCTGGAGCGATCGGACGTCGCCTTCTACATCTTCGCCAACGGCAGCACAGAGCGGTGCGTGCAGGGAGCAGCCGGGGATTTATTTTTGTTTTTAACTTTTTTGGCGAGGAGGGGGGGGGGATAGTTGGTCCCCTCCTGTGACCCTCCTGTGCAACACTGTTGCAGGCTGAACCTGACGGAGAGGTTCGCCGCCACGGACAGGGCCCTGGAGAACATGAGCTCCTGGCCCGAGATGGAGCTGCCCCCCTCCGACGAGGACGACGACATCGTGGTGGGCAACCGGTCCATGTTCGAGAGCAGGCTCAGGGACTTCAGGTGAGTAGCAGTCGAAGTAGCGACGCCTATGCCCACCGCCAAGCTGTCCCCCCAAATCTCGCGGAAACGTGATTTCGCGCCGAAGCAACGTTCCGCGCCATCGCGCCGCAATGCAGTGGATTGAGGGGCCACACCACAAATAACTTTGCGAAAGCCGCTCACTTCGCCGCTGCTTGTCCCCACTGTTTATCTTGGCGGCCGTATAGCCGGCCCAGTGGACAGGACGGGACAGGGGAACGCAATGTGCTAATCCATTAGTGCAACACTGGCCATGCATTATTCACGCATGCACGGCCCCGCCGCCCACCCGCCGGGCCGGGGGCGGGTCGGAGGCGGGTCGGGGGCTGGTCGGGGCTCGGCCCGGGGGCGGGCCCGCCAACAGCACTGCGCTGCGCGCTGTCAAGATGACCCACTTGCCGCTAAACCGGAGCGATGGCGATCCATCGCTCTGTTCCGGTTCGGTTCGGACGCGGCGCCGTTCGGTTAATCTAATGCGGGCGGCTGCCTGCGCTCGCCCTGCCGCCTCCTTCGCCCCCTGCCGCTCTGCCACCCCGGCGTTGTCCCTCTGCCGATCCTTGCCGCTGCTGCTTCTTTTCAGGAGCGCGCCCCTCCCCTGGCTGTTTGTTGCATCCGTAACATAATATTTAAAAAAGTGCACGCAGCAGTTTAAGCTGCTCCTCTTTATTCTTTCGTAAAAAAAACCCTCTGCCAAAGCGGACCAACCCGACGAGGGGGTAACCTTATCCCCATCCCCAAGCGTCACACACGCGCGGCTCGGGGCGGCCACCCTCGGGCCACCCTCGGGCCACCACTGAGGGTTCTTTTTCATCGCCTGTCTCATGGCCGGTCGGCCCGGGGTCCGGTCGCTCCCCGCTCCTCCCCTCTCCAGGAGGGCAGGGCGAGGAGGCGAGTGGGTAAACACAAACAGCTCGCGGTACTCTGCCCTGCC